TGTATTCCCATTGAGTCTTAGTCTTGGAAGGGGGTTTGCGCTGAGGGGACCCAACCACTTGCCTTGATGTTTCCTGGGCAAGCATGTTGCTTGTTCTTGTAGTAAAAGTCGGTCTACCTATGTTGTTTTATATTTTTCCTGTGGGTCTTTCTTTTAAGAAATATCTTCTGTTCTTCTAGCTACTCCAGGTTGGTCTGCTTGTCCTTCAAGTGGGAATTTCCCATTTCTGGAGATCTGGATATGGTTCAGGCTTCCACCTACAGTCTTATGTATTGCAGAGGCGGAGCCATAAGTTTTTGCTTCTTCAGTTTCTTCTGGGATATTCTGTTCTTCTGTGCAACCTCCTCTTCTGGTTTAGCAACAAATTGCTCCTTTTCAGTGAGGATCACCTTAATGTGGCAGGGGAGCTCACATTGGGGTTCATGTGACCATGAGCTCTGTAATTTTGGAGGTGCATCTTGGGAGCTTTGCTGATCTGGATTTGCTCAGTAACCAGAGACGCCACAGCTACACCTTTAAGTTCAGCTTTGTGTAGCAAAAATTTTTTAAGCATGTGTAGCAAAAATTCAGTATTCTTTTTGGGCCAGTGACCCTGTGTCGAACCCCACTGTTTGGCCTGGGCACACCTACCAACGCCACCATTGTAATGTCAAAAGTGTACACATTAGTTTTGCAAAGTGACATCTTTCAGATACTTGGTGGCTTTCCGGATATACATACATGGACAGTCTCATGGGCGTTCTTAAAATGGACCTGGAAATTTGAACCTCTTGATTTGCATGGTTTTGTGGGGTTTTCTGGGTCAAGTGAGTATCAAAGTGGGCTTAGGAGTCCCCAGGTCTCACCGCACTTTGGACTAGCATCCCTTCTTCTCTCTTTCATCTCCCGGTCAACGGGAGTCAATAAACTGTGGTTGAACTCAGCCCATTTCTTCATTGCTACCTTTCCCCCTCTTCCACTCACTAGTAGACCAATGTGGTCACCAGCAAGCTTACACGCCTGCTCATATGTTCCCTTTTGAGTTCCAGTCTTGGAGGGGGGTTTGTTCTGAAGGGACTTGATCACTTGCCTTGATGGCTTCCCGACAAACCATCTTGTAGTAGCCAATCAGACTATCGCTTACAGGAGGAGCTCTCCTTTTATTTCTTATGATGTTTTCAGGGAAAGTTGTGTCTTACTCCTGATCAGGGCTGGTGCTTGAATGAGGAAGGTGTTGCATCCTACCTGTCTCAGTTTTGTAGCACTGCTCTCACAGAAACACCACAAGGCAGGGGAGAGATTTCTTCTCTCACAGTGTAGGAGGCGAGAAG